CATGTACATCTGACTCAAATCATGATGGTTATTTATCATCTATTTCATTTCCTCCAAAGTAAATCAGAATGTAAGTAAGTTTGGGACTTCCTGACCTTTAAAGGGTCACCTTTCACCTGAAATCCAAATGCTGAATTACTATCAAGACTCACACCTCACTCTCTTCCCTCCCCACCTCCAGAAATAGGGTTCAACTATCATCAATAATCAGGTATCTCTAAGATTTCCACTGCAGTCACTTTAAGTAGTTAATCCCAGAGACCTAGAAAGGATTCCTGATATTCAAGTGAATGTACCCTAGGATCCCATGAACTGGGATCCCATTTGACCTAAATTCTATCTCATACATTCATTTAACAAACACTAAGAAACTATATATGTCTGGCGCTGCAGTGAACACTGTGGCTCTGTCTTTATGAGAAATGTGTAGGAAGTTATACAGACATCAAATAGCCAGAATGTCAGAGAAATAAATAAATTCCACAAATAACTGAATTCTAATTTGGAGGCTATGATGCAAGCTGAATACTAATAATCTGTGCTCCTTTCTGCATGAATGTTAAACTTTGCTAGAAATTTTTATACAATATATCTAATGTACACTAATAATTATGAAATCTGTACATTGGGAGGCAACTTTAAAACTCAACTAACCCACTTTTCTCATTTTAGAGATAAGAACACCAGAATCCCAGGAAAGTTACATGAACAGTTCTTCACAGGAAGCTAAATGTGCGAACCAATTAAACATCTGGTTGTTAAGAATACTCTGGCTGATCTTAAGTCCCTGTTGACCTGACCCACTCCCTGTTTATCTTCATCCTTTTTAAGGTATTGCCATCAGTGTATCAGTAGTAAGGCCATTTGGGTTGTTTTTTTTTTACATTTTTTTCTTATTATATCCTTAAGTAGTTGTACAAAGAAGTTCCTATTCTACAAAACAGTATATGAGTACCAGGTGTCTGACAACACTGTCACCCATCACTCCTAATCCATTAGTAAGGCCACTTATAAAAAAATCTGTCTGTACCTCAATGTCCAATCCAAAGCCCATGATGCTTTCCTTCACTGGACCGACCCACATACTTCTCAACATCCCCTTGGCCCTCATCATAAGGTATCCTGAACATTATGTGCATATTACCTCTTAAAATTAAGCACAGAAGCCTTAAAGGTAGAAGATGTATCACCATATCACTACTATCTTGGTGTCACAGTAATTTCTTCTTGTTCTAATGAGCAACCAGCTCCAGGACAAATCAGAGAGAGCAATCATCCTATTAAGGATCACTGGCCTGTAAGAGTGCCTCTGATCGTCCAAAACACTTTCAGAAGATGGCAAAAGGTGAATACTGGCTCTATCCTTTATCTTGAGAACATCACAGAGCACTCAGTAAGTAACAGGCAATATTGTTAACAATCTTGTGAATATTAAGTAAGCCCCTTTAATTCCCAAAACAACCTCGTAAAGTAGAAACTATGACTAGCTCATCTTACAAATGGAGAAAATGAAAGCTACAAAGATCAAATAGCATATCCCCAAATAACTGAGCCAGGATTTTAAGCTAGGGTGTCTGACTCCAGAATCCATGCACTCAACAAAATTAATTTTATTGCTTTTCAAATGGCAACATTCAAGAAGAAAGATTACCTATCCTAAAAACTGTTTCTTCTTTACTCTTCACTACAAGTGAGTGACTTTAAAACACAACTGTCAAAATACAATTGTCATAGATGCACATGCCCAATCTCCAAAACTATTCTAAGAAGTATCTGATTATTTCACAATAAAACATCACATGACAGCTGGGCCTTTCACAAGGCAGCTCCCATTATCATTTTCTGCGAGACTCTCAAATGAGATGGTCTTCCTACTTCGTTTTTTCAAATCTTTAGTTTCTAGCTGGTTGTGAGGTTTGGCCCTAACACAAATGTTACATCTGGCCTTTTGAACACATTTCTCAGTTTCACCTTGAAACTGTACTCATGTTAAAGGCCAAGAAAAGGATGCCCTGTAATGCAGCCAATCCAACTTCACCAGAAACCAATGCTTGCTGAAAAACACAGCCAAAGAGCTACACAAGACAGGTGGCAGCTGGGGATACCAGACAGATGACAGCTGCAAGCTGAATGTGAGGGTAATGGGGGTAATCACTAGTCCACTGAGTGGAACTCCAAAACTCTGTAAAAGGACACATTGACACAATTTCAAAACAACATGACACTGCTTTGAAGGGTGTGGAGAAAAGCAAGAGGCAGAACATCCTGAGTAGCTCCTTTCCAGCAGCTATCAGGGTAATGGGAGAGGGAAGAAGGAACTTATCTGCAGTAAGATGCAACTGGCCAGGCTCACAACAGGTAAGTGGTAAACTTGCAGAGACACAGCAAAAAAGGAAAGCAAAATCATTTCTAAGCATTAAATCCCCTGGGATATGAAACTGTACATCAAAAGAACTTTTTAATCTACGATATTTTTCCTATTAAAGAGGAGTTTGACTCAAGCACCAGTGGCTCATGCCTGTAATCCTAACTATTCAGGAGGTTGAGATGTGCAGGAACAAGATTCAAAGTCAACCTATGGAGAAGAGTTCCCAAAAACTCCATGACAAATAAATTAGGGAAAACGCTAGACTGGATATGTTTCAGGTGTTAGTGTATATGCCAAATAAGCCAAGCAAGCTCAAGGTTCTGAGTTCAAACCCCAGTACTGCCAAAACAAAAAAACATCAACAACAACAACAAAAAAAAAACCCTGAGTTTGGCAAGCTATTACCTGCAGGCTAAATCATTAGCGCTACTGTCCCATAGCTCATGACCAAAAAAGGTTTTTACCTTTTAAGTAATGGAAAAAAAAAAAAAGACAGATAGAAGAGAAAAAAAGAATAGAAGCTCATGGCCTGAAAAACCTATTTACTAGTTGACACTCATAGAAAAAAAAATTCAGAGTCCTATGTGAAAACATACAAAAAAATAATTAAAATTTAGTCATCCTGTTAGAAATTCATAGAACATTTTTAAAGAAAATCATTGGAACCCACTACTCTGTGGTCAACTGGATGAGATATACAATAGGTCTGGGCTTTGTTACCATAGTCTACTTTCAGTCCTTTAGCATCTGCTTAGAACCTAGAAAACTAAAGAGACACTAAAAAAAATGAAATTAGCTTTATTAGATTTTAAGACAATCTATAAAGTTTTCATATATCTTGCCCATTTGCTTACAATCATCCAGCAAGCACAGACCACATCTTTTCATATTTTTATATCTATTAGTAATCATTTACTCTATGACAATCACCAAGAATTTTATATATTATTTCATTTAGTTTCTCATCTCCCATAAAATAAGGTCTATTAAAGTCTGCTTTGTTAACTAATGAATTCTCAACAACACAATAGTTTATAGGCATTTCATAGGTGTGAAATAGCTTATTATTATTAAATCCTAGAAGGAAAATGAGCTCATTATGACTGAGATACAGAGAGAGTGAATACCTTTGCCCAATCAATAGTGTCCAAGCTGGAACTTAACCCAGGAAGTCTGACTCTACAGTTTGAGTAAAATTCTGTGTTCTGTCCTACTTTTGTTGAACTATTCAGGCATCAAATATAGTGGCTTCTGTTATCACAACTAACAGTGCCAGTTTTAAATCTTATTCTCTGGCAAACCGTATGCTATACACACCCACTCCAACTGTGTTCATGTACTCATTTCCAGCAAAACTAAGGAGTGTAAATGATAGGATTTTGTCAGATGAAAGCTTTGTAAAGCAAAAATTTTATGACAGTTGTCTATTTTGTGTTTAAAGAAAAAGCTGTCGGGTAAGTAAAAGCATTAACTGGATTCTGCAAGTTGAGAGTGAGACCCCAAAAATAAAACAAAATAAAATAAATCAAAGTATGAAAAAGAAAATATGGTTGTCACAGACACAAGCAGAAAAGATTCCAGCAAAAAGAATCTTAACAGGAACCCACAATCCTAGCTACTGGATGGCTGAAATCTAAGGATCTGTTTGAAGCCAGCCCAAGCAAGGAAGTCCATGAAACTCATCTCCTATTAACCACTCACATTCCAGAAGTAGAAATGTGGGTCAAGTGGCAGAGTGCCAGGCTTGAAGAAAAAGTAAGGGACAACACCCAGGCACGGGATTCAAGCCCCAGTACGGACATAAAAAAAATAAGCATTAAAAATGAACTCGAGATGCTCAATACTCGTTCTGTGAATAAATGAAAGGTAAAAACTGCACTTCTTGAGTTTTCCAAAGTTTCTTTCTATACTACAGAGAACTTGTTCTTTTGTTTGGGTTTTTGTTTTTTTGAGGGGGGGAGGGTATGGGGGGAAGGCAGCTATTAGTAAGTAACCACTCCTGCAAACAATCCCTTCAAAGGAAATAAAACCCCTGAACGCGGTTTGGGGTGCTAGCTTAGTAAGCGCTGGCAATCAATCCCGTCCATCATCTTTTGACCAAACCAAAGGAATGAGAAATGGAACGGCTATGCCCACCCTCACACGGCCGACTTCACGCCACCCCCCAACAAGGATGCTCGTACACTCCATCCCCAAAGGCCGCTCGCTATAGGAGCAACCTGGAAGAGGCCAGGCCAGGAGAGGATGACTTGGGGCCCACACAGATCCAGGCCCGGTGAAAAGCGCCCCCCCTCCCCCGCCCAGAAGCCCGGATTCACAGCCCGGGGGGCGGAGCCAGGGAGCCCAGGGTTTAGCCACACCTCCCGGCGGTTCTCCAGCCCGCTAAATTTAAGAACTGCCGTTCGCGGCCACCGCGGGCAGGGGCGGGCCGGAGCGGGAGCCGCGGACGGGGGTGGGGGGCGGACACGGGCCGCCGGGCAGGTCCCCGGCGGGACCCGAGTGGAAGAGCTGGGGGGGAGGCCTGTCGGGTCCGGCCCGGCCGCCCCGCGGCCCCGCACCCCGCACGGCCCCGCGGCCTCCCCGGGCGTCCCGGCCCGCGCCCCGCGGCCGGCCCGCCAGGCTCGATCCTCACCATCGCGAGCAGAGCAGCAGCTTCTCCAGGCGGGCGAGCGCGGCGCGGCTGTGGGCCCAGGCCCCGCCGCCAACCTCCGACTCCATGGCGGGCGCGGGATCAGGTTCGTTCCCCGAACGGACCCTGGGCTGCCGGCTCCCCGGCATCGTCTCGCTGTCACGAAGAAAGCCGAGAGGAAGCCGAGAAGGTCGGCGGACTTAGGCACCGTGAGACCCACTCTGACGAAGCCGCCCCACCGGGCCGGGCCGTCCCCGCGTCCGGGCCACCGGGACTCCAGAGGGGCGGGGCGGCCGGAACGCGCTAAAAGAGCCGCTGCGCGCGCTTTCCAGGGGGCGGGGCCTGTGGACACGCCCGGGCTGGTGGGCGTGGCCTAGGGGCTGGCGGGGCGGAGCCCGGCCTCGGGACGCCCGAAGTTGGCTGGGGGAAAGGTCTGTGACCTTAGGGAGCCTAGGCTTCCAGCCTCAGGGAAGCTGATTGGAGGTTCCGCAGCTGAGTGGAAACACACACACACACACAACTTTTAGTGGAGCTTTATCTACACGGAGTGTTGTTGTCCCTGCTTTTCAACTTGGAAAAGCTTTGCCCAGGACACCGAAGGAACTCTTTCACATAGAAGTAATTAAGTAATTTTGTCTTTTGTTCCCTCCCCCTCCCCCCGCCAATATGAGATATAACAGTTATATCTAATTTTACCTAGCTGCCAGTATCTGTTCCGACGCCTGTTTAAAAAGTTCTGATCTACCCCTGTAATCCTAGCTCCACAGGAAGCTGAGATCTGAGTTTCACTGAAGCCCTTGCCAACCGGGTTTTCAAGAAAGCACCTGACTCCCTAATCTCCAATGTTAAAAAGCCGGGAATGCAGCTGTAGTGCCCAGACCCTGAGTTCAAGCCCCAGCTACCCTTACCAAAAATAAATTCTGGTTTACTTTTTTAAAATGTGATGAATAAACTCTCAGAAAACAGTATTGTTAACGTGTCCACCCTCCACTGAAGGATCTCAGTGTTTCATAGATACCACTAAGGAGTAGCTCTCTGCTGCTCCCCACCCCTATCCAAGCCCATTACCAAACCTTTGTGTTTGGCTCCTCCTTTCTCTATCCACTTGTCCCCAACCTGCCTCTGTCCTCACCTGGGATTAGCACATGGATTGCACTGTAACTTTACACCCAGGTCCCTTTCAATCTTTGAGAGAGTACTACTGTCATCTAAAGCATTTCCAAATACAGAAGTCATCTAGGCACCACCTTAATTACACACCAAAGGTATTTTGCTGGTATGATTAATGTAACCTATTCTAGCCTTATGAAAACATGCCCAAGTCACTGTCCCCTTCCCACAGTACCTGACTTCAGCCCTGGAAAGCCCCTATGCCTAACTGACTCAGGAATTCTATAAGAAGATTCACTATGGAACCTAGAATTGCCCTCTTCCTCAGATTGACCTGGACTCCATCTGCAGCTCTCGCTCCAGTGCCAGTCCTTGAAAGGTTCTCCAGGTCCTCCCATCTATATGCTCATAGATGTTTCATTCTACTGCAGCTACACATGTGTGAACATGTGTGTTTACCACTCAGGCCAGAGCCTATCTGGTTTGTTCCCTATTAAAATGTCAGCATGTGACATATGTACTATATGGCTCTAAGTAGATGCTCAAGATTTGAGTCATTTGACTAGTGTAAGTCATGCCCCATATTCCCTGCTTTAAGCCTCTTGGGAACACTGTGATATAAGACTGGATATTTGGGTTCATGTGTTGAGCCCTAACTACCAGTGTAATGGTATTTGAAGTTGATGCCTTTGGGAAATAATTAGGTTCAGATGCTGTGTTGAGAGTAAAGCCACCCTAATGGGGTTGGTATATATTTTTTTTGGGGGGGGTCCGGTCATGGGGCCTGAACTCTGGGCCTGGGCGCTGTCCCTCAGCTCTTCAGCTCAAGGCTAGCGCTCTACCACTTGAGCCACAGCGCCACTTCCGGCTTTTTTTTTCTGTTTATGTGGTGCTGAGGAATCGAACCCAGGGCCTCATGCATGCAAGGCAAGCACTCTACCACTGAGCCACCTTCCCAGCCCAGTTGGTATCTTTAGAAAGGGAAGAATGTGCCAGTTCTTTCTCCCATGTCTGTGTGTGTGTGTGTGTGTGTGTGTGTGTGTGTGTGTGTGTGCGCCTGTGTGAGAGAGAGAGAGAGAGAGGGGGGAGGAAGAGGGGAGAGAAATGGGCATCCATTCTAGGGTGATGTACACCAATGATATTTAAAATTCTGGAATTCTTGGGCTGGGAGGCAGCTCAGGAGTAGAGCACATGCACAAGGATTTAATCCCCAGCAAGTTAAAAAATAAAAATAAAAAAGTGAAATTCTTCAAGGAAATCCAGCTCAAGAACAAGGTCTTAGTAAAGCCTTGCCCTATAGCACTAACAATAACCTTTTCTCACTTTACAAAGGTCTAAGAAGAATCTTCTTTCCCCTATAGAGTTTCTCTACTAGGACCACCTTTGTCCTAAAGGATTCAACACATTGCTCCTTTTCTTTCTCATCTACTTTACAGTATTCTGAGCAGTATTCCCAAGTGTTGAGGAAGAACACAAGACAAACAGTCGTCAGAAAAAACAGTTTTTGGAACAGTTCTCAGAAAACCCACAATCGAAGATGCGATTATACCCCTAGCAACTGCCAGTTAGACAACGGGTTGAGAAACACTACCCCAATTGCTGGAAAATAGACAGGGTGGTCAAGTTCCTGGAAAAAGCAGCTTTAGGGTCATAAACAGTTAAAAAATATATTGTCGCCTGCATTCCTATGGTTAGTCTTATGTATCCCAACCAGTGATCTGCTTGCTATGTATGATTTAACCAATCCTGTAATCACTAACTTGGAAAGCCCCTACCCTTACTGGAAATGATTATGCCCCTAACCAATGAGCCTACCCTGAAACTTGCCCATGAAATGCTGACCAATTATGTAGAAGCCCGCAAACTTTAAGCCAATCATGTGACTGCTAGGATGGAAACCCCCTCCTCTTGCTGGAAACCCTATAAAAACCCTGCTGAACTTGTGGCTGGGACTCTCAACTCTGACCTGCTACATCGGTGACGATTCTGAGTCCAGGCTCAAGCTTGCAATAAATGGCTCTCATATACTTGCATCGGATTAGGCTCCTTGGTGGTCTTTGGGGGTCTGCGGCCTGGCACAACACAAGCATCTTAGGCCTTCAAAATTATTCATCCTCCCCCAAAATAACAGTCTAGTCATGGAGCATTCTGAGTCATAAAGATGAATTTGTATTAGGCTACCTCCCTGTCTTCTTTCCATACTCTCCATTATGTGTCACTCCAGTGCTTTGGTTATCTCTGTAGCTCTCCTTATGTACAAAGGAATCTCAGCCTAGGTGTTTTATGTTCCCTACTATTCATGTTCAGTAAGAACTGTTTATGGAAAACCTTTTCAGCATAATGTTGTTGGGGGTTTCCCCATTATAAAGGTTTTTACAAGTAACAAATCTTTCTCATAGTCACTTGGATAAGCCTATATAGCATGAAAAACAGAATATCCATCATACCCAGACTCTCTTCCCATGGAGTATGAAGATACTTTACAAATCCCATTCTTTACTCTAATTCCTTTCTGGTTATTTATTGTGGAACTATGTGGTAGGTGCTACCGTTTTGACCCTCTCAATTGCATTTTCTTTGTCAGATACAAATTTGCTTGTAAAGACTTTTATGAACTGATTTTCCTCCACTTCCCCAAAATTCAGTTCAAGGCAATTGACTAAGAGCTATTGAAGTAAGGAGGTCAGGTCTGGCCGGTGCCATATTGGCCACATGGTAGATGGTAGGGTCTAGCATCTTGTCTTCATGCTGGGGGAAGGAAATGCCCCTGCCCGTCACCTGCCTCTCAGGTGCCCGATCCCTGGAAACTGGGGTGGGCACTTGGCTGATAGGTTACTGAATCTGTCAGTCCAGTGCCTAGGACTGGGAATTTCCTGTGGATCTGCCCCCTTGTGCCAACCCTATTTAGGCCTGGACCAGCCCAGCTGCCAGGACACGTGCCACGTGTGTCTCTGTGACTGTGTCCTGTGTCCTGTCTCCTGGCTTATCTCCAGTCATCATGGCGTCCCAATTCAGCACTCCATTGGAGCTGAATTGACTTGTTGGTATTGTTTTTGTTATTTCTTTCCTCTTTAGCATGTTTCCTAGCTGTGTTATGTGTATTTGCATGCTGCAGGCCTTTCTAACAACTGGCGGCCTGCAGCCTGTTAACTCTATAATAAAGACTCCAATATTCTATATTTTAAAATGTGGCTTCTGGGATAATTCACATTACAATACTATCAAATACTTTAATTCATAGAATGGAACAAACTACCACAATATCTAGGACTGACCTTCCTATTGGAACACTACTAACTTATGTAAAAGTGATACACTGAAGCCAGGAGCTAATGACTTATACCTGTAATCCTAGCTATTATGGAGGCTGAGATCTGAGGATTGTGGTTCAAAGCCAGCCTAGCCAAGAAGGTCTGTGAACTCTTCTCTCCAATCAAACATGAAAAAGCCAGAAGTGGAGCTGTGTGTGGTAGACAGTGGAGCTCAAGTGGTAAAGACTTAGCCTTGAGCAAAACAGGCTCAGGTACAGTGTGCAGGCTCCAAAGTCAAGCCCCAGGACTGCCCCAACCACACACACAAAGCAATATGTTTTATTATATTTTGATGTGTGTGAGGAAATCCAATGTGGCATGATGATTAAATGCACAGTTTAGAGACAAAAAACTGGGTTTTAAGCCAACTACTGCTATTTTCTAGGATTATGTTCTTAAGCCCGTTATTCAAAGAAATGTAGAACTTAGTCTCATTGTCTGTAAAGTTAATGTTAATAGCCAGGCGCTGGTGGCTCACGCTTGTAATCCTAGCTATTCAGGAGTCTGAGATCAGAGCATCACGGTTCAAAGCCAGCCTAGGCAGGAAAGTTCCTAAGACTCTTATTTCCAATTAAACACCAAAAAATGGGAAGTGGTGCTATGACTCAAGTCGTATAGCACTCACCTTGAGCTGATGAGCTCAGGAACAGTGCCCAGGCACAGAGTTCAAGCCCCACAACAGTCATAAATTTAGTTTAATATATAACCAATCTTAGGACTGACATTGCACCTCATTGGTAGAGTGCATGCTTTGCAAATATATAACCCTTCCTGGGTTCTGTACCTACTACCAAAAGAAGAAAGCAAAAGAAAGGGAAAAAGCGAGAGGA